GTGAGAGAAATGAAGGTATTCCCACATTCTGTACATTTATAGAGCTTTTCTCAGAAATGAGTTCTTCCGTGATTTCAAATGGAACTGAAACAACTGAAGGCCTTAACACGTTTTCAAAAAGAATGCGAAAATTGAAGGTTTATTTCTTATAGTCAATAGGTATTTCATGTCCTTGAAAGTACTGGAAAAATTGAATCCTTTGCCACATTTCTTACATTAAAAGGGCTTCTCTCCGGCATGAATCCTTCATGTTTTTGTATATTGCTGGAACAACTGAAGCCCTTGCCCAACTGTTTTAAAATTCATAGGGTTTTCTCCAGTAGGAGTTCTTCCATGTTTTTGAAGGGAACTTGTAATATTGCATGTTTTATCACATTCCTTACATTCATAGGTTTCTCTGCAGTGTGAGCTCTTTCATGTGTTTGAAAACAACTCAGAAAAAAGAGTATTTTCCCGCATTCCTTACATACATAGGGTTTCTCTCCACTATGAGATGTTTTTATGTTGAGAAAAAGACCCAGAAGACCTAAAGTCTTTACCACATCGCTTACGTTCGTAGGCGTTTTTACGCACCATGAGTCAGTTCATGCTTTCAAAGGTAACAGGAACACCTGAAGAATTTACCACAGTTTTTACACTCGTAGGGTTTTTCTCCAGGATGAGTCATTTCATGCCTATAAAGCTGACTGGAGTGACCGAAGGCTTCCCACATACTTCACATTCACGGGGTTTAACTATGGTATGAATTCTTTCACGTCTTCGAAGGTTACGGGAGTATCTGAAGGCTTTATTACATCCCTTACATTCAGAGGGTCTCTCCAGTATGAGCTGTCTCATGTGTTTGAAGACAACTCAGAAAACAGCAAATGGGATAACGCCGATGAGGGGGACACGTGTCTAGAAGACACAGCGCACCAAGACTTAGGCATGAAGAAGTAGGAAATGTAAACAGACCTACCATTGTAGGATATTGATGTGGTGATCAAAGCCACCCCCCAACAAATAGAAACCCAGGGCCAAATAATTTAGAGGAGGAGGAGGAGGAGAAAGAGTGGGAGGAAGAGAGAAGCTCCTGAGGTCAGAGGCATTTTTGTTGACTTTATTCATTAGTGCATTCCACGGGAGCTGAATGCCTGACGCAGAGATTGTTTTGGATGAATAACCACTGTTGGGCACAAAATAATCCAACCCCATGTATTTCACTGAATTTAATTACTTTTCTGTCCTTAATGTTGGCTGTATCTCACTTTCTTTTCTCCCGAGGTTATAAAGCCCTCCTATCTCCTGTTGAACCTTCCTCCTTATCCGAAGGGATCCAGAGTTCCCTCTCCCTGCAGCTGAGTCCTGTCCCCTCAGGAGCGGCCAGCCCAGGGCCTTTCCAGCGATCGTACACGGAGGCAGCGCTGAAATGTCCACAGAGGCGGCGCTGGTGAGAGATATGCTCATAAGGACGCTCTTCCAGCTACATTTATGCAGCACTTTACAGAGTATTGAGAAAAATTAATGTTTTGCATCAGGAGTGGGCGGCCTTGGGAAAATATGAGGGGGGGATGGCTGCCAGACAGTGTGCAGACAGTAGCTGTAAAGCCTCGAGAAGTAGGTTCAAGATCCAAGAGAGGCGAGCTGAACTCTCCATGCTTTGGGTGGACACCATTTCGCGCACGTAGAGGATCCGGAATACCCGGGGCCGTGGGAAGTGGAAAGCTCGTGCGGGGGTGGGGAGCAGGAGGAGACATGGAAGACAGAGTGATGTGTCCTCGGAGCCTGATGCCATGGACGCGGCCGTCTGCAGGAGGGGAAACTCCGGTCGAGCTGTTTTCAGAGGGGTTTTGGGAGAGCAGAGCACAATCCGGCCTTCTCGGGGCCAGGGGGGCAAAGCTGGTCCCAGGAACAGGAAGGGGAGGAGGATGCAAGAGGACTTGCTCCAGACACAGCATCTCTCCTGCTCCCCGAGAGCCGCAGAAGACACCCGGAAGAGGGCTGGTGTACTGACACACGCCTTCCTGCAGAGGGCGCCAAACGCCACAAAACGCCATTTTCACTAAAGTTGCTGAGACTTCGGTTCTACTTTTTTTTAACTTAATCCATCCACAAGAGGGCAGAAGTGCAGCTCTTTTTTCCCTTTGTTGTTTTTTTCTTTTTTCCTCCCCCTTTTCTGTTTTTATTCTTTTTTCTATGTTTTTTTTTTTTTTTCTCCCTCACCTCAATTGAGGTGAAATTTACATAACATAAAATTGACCATTTTAAAGTACTACCCCTTGGTGGCATTAGTGTGCTCACAATGCTTTGCGACCACCACCTCTGTTTGGGTCTGAAATATTTTCATCACCCTAAAATAAAACCCCCAGATCATTAAGCAGTTATATCTCATTTCCATTTCCCATCTCCTCAGCCCCTGACAACCACAATTTTCTTTTCTTTTTTTTTTTTTTTGAGACAGAGTCTCGCTCTGTTGCCCAGGCTAGAGTGCCCTGGTGTCAGCCTCTCTCACAGCAACCTCAAACTCCTGGGCTCAAGCGATCCTCCTGCCTCAGCCTCCTGAGTAGCTGGGACTATAGGCGGAGGCCACCTTGCCAGGCTAATTTTTTCTATTTTTAGTAGAGACAGGGTCTCGCTCTTGCTCAACTTGGTCTCGAACACCTGAGCTCAAGCAATCCTCCCGCCTGGGCCTCCCAGAGTGCCAGGATTATAGGCGTGAGCCACCGCGGCAGGTTTGACAATCTGGGGATGCCTCTTCTGGTCATTTCAGACGAATGGAATCATGCTGATATGGCTTCTGTGTCTTTGGACTTCAAACACCTGAGGCAAGTTGGCCTGAATGTGTCTTCAGCAGAGAGGCTCTGGGCCACGCCCATCTCGGCAAGGCGACCCAGTTGTTGGCTGGGAGCCCACACCTTCAGGACAGTGTTCTTTTATTTTTTAAGAGACAAGGTCTGGCTCTGTCACCCACTCCTCCTCCTGTGGCAAGCATCACATCTGGCTTCTGTTACCATTTGCTCTGCCGACCTCTCTAGATCGTTAAGATTGAAGTCCTCCTTCCTGACTCATAAGGACAAGTGAGCTGAGTTTCAGGTCATGTCCTTGTCTGGAAAAATGCAAATCACAGGACAGTGCAAATGAACAGGCATAATCCTTCCATTCTGGCATGGAAGGAGGAACACGGGACTCACCAGAAGGACACTCCGCCCCAGGAGGGATGCGGGGCGTTGGCGGCTGGATTTCCTCCACAGCCCGGCGCCGGCGCCGAGCAGGGCCGTGCGAGGCCTCAGCACCTCCCTGCGGAGCCAAATGACACTCCACCCTCCAAGGGAGCAAGGTAGCCCTTCCCAGCAAAACCATTCAGGAAAATGTCCCGCTTGTCCATCAACAGAGGAGGCCAGGAGGGAACGTGGCCGGCCACTGGGTGCGGGGAAGTCAGGCAGAACGTCCTGAGCCTGCTGGGCCAGGCTTGTGGCGGAACCGACTCCCGGGACCCCATGGCCACGGGCGTGGCGCAGGGCTGGGGCACGGGCCCCTCTGAATTTCCGGACAGGAGTCTCCGGGGACAATGCCAGGATTAGGCCCATTTCAACGTGATCGTAAACAACGGTCCAGCAGGACCTGGGTCCCGCGTGGCCAGGTCGAAGGTCTCAGAGAGCCGAGGAACTTATCTGAGTCCCCAGCTGCTGCGTCTGGCGGGATCCCGCCCCTGGGGACCCGGCCTCCTCCCTGGGCTGCCTAGCTGGCCCCGCAGGCTGCGCTTCCACGGCCACCTCACTTGGCCTCTGTCCCTCCCTTATCTCCCGCTGCCAGCCTCAGCGTGTTCAGTACTGATGATCACGCCCCTCAGGAAGCCTTTTTTGGTTGTTGCAACTGACAGAAAAGCACAGTTGGTATTTTTGCGAAAAGAAAAAAGTAAGAGGGGAACCTGTTGGAACTGAGGGACTCGGCTCATGCCGGAGTTCTAGACTCCCCTTTTCTCCCCCGGCCTGGCGGCAGTGCCGGCCACGTGGATTGTGCTCCGCCCGGAGTTGGCCGGGAGCTAAATCGCTTCCCTCAGAGTCACCGGAATTCCCTGGGAAACCTGCAGCCGCTCTTGGCGCTGGGTGAGTATTTTCTATGTTTTCTATTTTTTTAGAGACAGGGTCTTGCTGTGTGGCCCAGGCTGGAGTGCAGTCATCACAGCTCACTGTAGCCTCAAAAGCTTGGGCTCAAGCGATCCTCCCGCCTCAGCCTCCAGAGTGCTGGGGTTACAGGCGTGAGTCACCGCGCCCGCCATGTCTTCTATGTTGAGAGCGCTCACGGATGTCTTTGCTTTCCACACTCTCTCCCATCCTCAAGCAGCAGGGAGAGGCCGAGGGCTTTCCTCAGAGGCGAGAACAGAACAGGACAGGAGCCTTGGCCGACACAACATCTTAATCCCACACACAAGTGCCACCCCTGGGAGGCTGCGTGGGCTTGGACAGCCAGCAGACCTGTTTCCAAACACTGGCTCTCTAAGCCGAGGTCACGATAAATGCTGAAACTTATCCAGTGTCCTGCCATGCCCATCCGTGCCGAGCAGCGCTAGGAGTTGTGTCCCACCCCCTCCGCTGTAAAGTCCTGTGGACAGCAGGAAAACTGAGCACGTTAAGGGAATGCGTCGACGTGGCCCTGGACTCGGGTTGGGGATTTCTTCCCCGGCGTCCTGGGGTTTCGTGGCAGTGAACAGCTAGAGACTGGTTAGTAGCTCTTTCATAAATAGGTGAGAGAATCAAAGCCATGACGCTTAAGGATGTCTTTGTGGAATCTGTGACCCACACACGATGGCCAGAGGCACGTTATTCCAAGGAGACGATGCAAGAGCAGATGAGGCTTGCTGTGCCTCTTTCTAGGGTCAACACCTGTCAGGTGTGAGAGTGAACGGCCTTTTTCTTCTTCCAAGGTGACTGCTCCTTCGCACCTATCAGCTGCCCGGCGGCGGCTCGGTCCTGCCGAGTCCGAGGTGCGTCCGGGCCCGCGCGTCTGTCCGGCCGGCAGGGATGGCAAAGACACGTGGCGGAGATGCCTTCGTGCCCGCCTGTTTGCTCGCCCTGGTCCTCCTGCGCCTGCTGCCCGCCGGCTTCTGCAAAGTCGGTAGGAGACCCCCGCCCCGCACAGGCGGCCAGCTTTCCCGCGGAGCGGAGCCTGCGGGGCCAGCTCGGCCCCCGCCCGGCAGCCCGGGGTGGGGGAGGCCGGGTCCCCAGGGCCGGGTCCCGCCAGACGCAGCGGCTGGGGGCTCAGACAAGCTCCTCGGCTCTCGGGGACCCTCGACCTGGCCGCGGGACCCAGGCCGTGCTGCGCGTCGTTTGCGATCGCGTTGAAATGGGCCTAATCCTGGCGTGGTCCCGGGGCTCCCGCCCGGGAGTGCGGATGGCCGCTCCCCGGCCCTGCGCCGCGCACTGACCGGGCGGGGGCGGGGGCCCGGGCCTTGACCTGGCGCGTCCGCGTCTGCTCCCCCAGGGAACGCCGATTTCGAGGTCCTGGGGCCAGACGGCCCCGTCCAGGCCACAGTGGGAGGCGTCGCCGAGCTGCCCTGCCACCTGTCCCCCCCCATCAGCGCCCAGGACATGGAGCTGAGGTGGTACCGGGACCGGCCCTCCCCGGCCGTGCACCTGCGCGCGCAGGGCAAGGACGACCCCCGCGACCAGCTGGCCAGCTACTCGGGCAGGACGGCCTTCGTGAGCGACCGCGTGGCCGAGGGCAAGGCCGCCGTGCGGATCCGCAACGTCACCGCGTTTGATGACGGCACCTACCGCTGCCGCTTCAGGGACGGCGCGGTTCACAGCGAGGCCGCCCTGCAGCTGCGCGTGGCAGGTGAGGTCCGGCGCTCGGGCATCGGCCTAACCCGGAGCGGCGCCCTCGGGGCCAGGCCCAATGCCAGGCCATCGTCTCCGGCCCGGAGGGCTAAAGGCTGGGGACGTTTCGGGCACACACCTCCCAGCAGGTGCCTCTGCCCAAGAGTGCGGCGCGCTGGCTGCGCATGCGTCTCAGGGGGGTGTGGCTCTGAGTGCGGGACTGTGTCCTCCTACCCTCCTGCCCGGGGCACAGCACTGAAGCGGAAAGAGGTAGAGACAGAGAGATGGAGAGAGAGATGGAGGGAGAGATGGAGGGAGAGAGATGGAGGGGGAGAGATGGAGGGAGAGAGATGGAGGGAGAAAGAGAGAGACGGAGAGAGAGATGGAGGGAGAGAGATGGAGAGAGAGACGGAGGGAGAGAGACGGAGGGAGAGAGACGGAGGGAGAGAGACGGAGGGAGAGAGACGATGGAGGGAGAGAGATGGAGGGAGAGAGACGGAGGGAGAGAGAGAGAGATGGAGAGAGAGATGGAGGGAGAGAGATGGAGGGAGAGAGATGGAGGGGGAGAGGTGGAGGGAGAGATGGAGGGAGAGAGATGGAGGGAGAGATGGAGGGAGAGATGGAGGGAGAGAGATGGAGGGAGAGATGGAGGGAGAGAGACGGAGGGAGAGAGACGGAGGGAGAGATGGAGGGAGAGAGATGGAGGGAGAGATGGAGGGAGAGAGATGGAGGGAGAGAGACGGAGGGAGAGAGAGAGATGGAGGGAGAGAGACGGAGGGAGAGATGGAGGGAGAGAGATGGAGGGAGAGAGATGGAGGGAGAGAGATGGAGGGAGAGAGATGGAGGGAGAGAGATGGAGGGAGAGAGACGGAGGGAGAGGTGGAGGGAGAGAGATGGAGGGGGAGAGATGGAGAGAGAGATGGAGGGGGAGAGGTGGATGGGGAGAATGATAGAGAAAGTGAGACAGAGAATGAGAGAGAGAGAGAGAGACGGAGATAGAGGCAGAGAAAGTGAATGAGAAAGTGAGAATGAGAAAGAATAAGAGAGACAGCGAGGGAGAGAGACAGCGACAGGGAGAGAATCCGAGACAGGCAGAGACACCGAAGGAGAGCTAGAGACAGAAAGAGATATACAGAGAGAGACCGAGAGAGACAGAGAGAGACAGGGAGAGGGAGAGGAGCGTTTTTGGCATAAGGGAGAATTTCCCCGGGTGACTCGCAGTCAGACGGGCCGGGTCCGTGCTGCTCGCCAGCTTGCCCGTTTCATGGCGCAGGGCCCTTACTCAACCTTGCCTAGCGTTTCCGTTCTGCTCCCTTTCCTCTGGGGGTGGGGCGCTCCGGGGGCGAGCACAGGTGTGACGCCGAGTAGGCGGTGTGAGAACCATTGCTGCTCCCTGCGGGAAACCCTCAAGATGTCTCTGTTTCAATCAGGGCTGGGCTCGGAGCCCAGGGTGCAGGTGACAGAGGAGCAGGACAGAGGCGTCAGGGTGGCCTGTGCCTCCGAGGGCTGGTACCCGCAGCCCCGGGTGGAGTGGACAGGCTCCAGGGGGCAGGCCGTGCCTTCTGTGACCAATCTCTCGGCCTCGGCCACCACCGGCCTCTGGGCTGTGGCGTCCAGCGTGACCATCGAGGACCGGACCTTGGAGAGTATCTCCTGCTCCATCTCCATCCCCCTCCACCCGGAGAGGAAGGTGGCCAAGAGCCACCTGCCCGGTGAGTGCTTTGTTCAGTTCTGTCTGCAGTCACTGGGCACCCGACTTCAGGACAGCAGCTGCGGGGCTCATAGCGAGAGGGGAGGGCGGCAGGTCCCTGTCCTTAGCCTGGCTGGGGCATCCCGGGAGGTGCATTTGTGTGCTGGTTCCCGGGGCGGAGCAGAGACGGGGTACAGAGAGAGCCCCAGGGGAACTTTGCTTTCTGGGGGGACAAGGAAGATGCACCCCAACTATCAGCTTTGCAAGTTTTTTTAAATGGACTGTATTTAGCGGAGCAATTTAGAAAAGTAAAAGTGGAAGTTTTTTTATGAAAGGTTAAATTTGAAAGCAACCAAGATGTCCTTCCGTACCTGAATGGATAAATAAACTGTGGTTTATGTGCTCGCGGCAAATTTGGGTCAGGAGTGCAGGGACTTCCCACGTGCCCGCAGCACGCACATGGCTGTCCCCGGATGAAAGCCCGGCCCCAGGGCACAGGGCGACACTCGAGAAACCCACGCAGGCGCGCCACCGTCACCCAGAGTGCGTGGCTCACGTGAGGGCTCACTCTCGGGGCTGAGCATCTTTGCGTGTCCACCGTTACCGCGTCACACGAACGGGTTTCTCTGCCTTCTGTGTCCTCTGCGCTCCCCTCGGCGCTGACGCCCGCCAGCCCGGCTCCCCACCGCCCCCGCGCGCCACGTTTCCCAGGGTGGCCCACGGGTGGGAGCACGCTCCTCTCCCTCAGCCGCATACGGTTCAGCCTCCTCCGTTCTTCGCGTGCCCGAGAGCGCCTTCATTTTCAGTCCCGAGCAACGTTCCACTGCCTGGATGGACCACGGTTTGTCTGCTCAGGAAGGACAGCTTGGTTGCTTCCAAATTTAGCTTTTCATAAAAAACTTCCACTTCTGCTTTCTGAATGGCGTCGCTGTGGCCAAGGGAAACCTTGCCCTTCCCTGTCTGAAGGTTTGCTCGAAACCACTGACGAGAGGCAGGTCAGTAGGAGAAAAGGCATCCACGCGTGTGTGGTCACAGGGTTACACGACACGGAGCCTTCAGAATGAAGACCCAAAGACGCAGGGCAGCCCTCCGTCGTCACGCTTGGGTTAAACAGGGTAGGGACGGCCGCGAGGAAGAATGGTTGGAGGAAAAGGACAGGATCTGATGCTGGCAGGCTGAGGGGGAAGCCCAGCGGGGCCTGTCTGTCTGGATTCCTCTTGGTTGCTGTGAGCAGCGTCCTTCCTCCCGGATGTGGGGCAGGGCCCACTCTGGGACGGGGTCTTGTGACCTACAGTGGGTCACAAGGTGGGTCCCAGAATCTCTTTATGTGCAGTTTTTACACAAAACGGCGGCGGGGGGCGGGGGCAGTTAGAGCTGCAGTTTTAGGTTTTATGTCTGGCTTTGGGGAAAACGGGTTCCGGTTTCTATGACCCACCTTGGGGAAGAGGGATTCTGGTTTCTGTGGCCAGCCCGGGGGAAGAATAGGACTGAGAAACATTTTGCTTCTGAGGCTGATCTGAGGCCTTCATTTGGGGCTGTTATTTTCTGAGTCCCAACAGTGTCAAACTTACAGAAAATTTGCAAGAATAATAGTGAATTTCCCTAGATTCACCCCATTTTTCCCATTTTGCCACATTTATTTTGGTCGCTTCTCTCTGTTTGTCTGTCTACAAGTAGGTAGACATCCAATATCCATCTCCTATGCATACACCTAAACCCCACCGTCTCAGTCCGTGCGGCTGCTGTGATATGACACTGGGCCACCCGGAAACAGCAGGTGCTTTTTGCTCACAGCTCTGGGGGCTGGACGTCCAAGCTCAAGGCGTGGAGATCCAGTGTCTGGGGGCCTCGCTTCCTGGTTCATGGATGGCAGCTTTGTGCTGTGCCCTCCCGTGGCAGAAGGGAGATGCAGTTCGTGCGTGTGAGGAAGCTCTTTGGGGTCACTTTTATAAGGACACTAATCCCATTGGTGATCTAATCACCCCCCAAAGACCCCACCACCTAACACCATCACCTTGGGGGTGAGGATTGCAGCGTATGAATGTGGGAGGGTCCAAGCATTCAGACCGTGGCACTGTCTATAGAAATACATAATTTTTTCCCCTGAACTCCCTCAGAGCAGTCTGCAAAGATCTCACCCCTTGACCCACGAACCCCTTGGCAGGTGTGTCCTGAGAGCAGAGAAGCTTTCTCACTCCCATGTCCTTGACGCCCTGGAACCCCCTTCAGGTTCTTTTTCCAAAAGGTCTGGGTTCATGGAGTGGAAAGTATACGTGCCTCTGATCGTCGCTGCAGTGGGACTCGTGACATCTGTAGTCATCTGCCTCTGGGGGAGACGGGAAAAGAACAGGAAACAGCTGGAAGAAGAGAGAGAGCCAAGAGAAGAGGAGCAGAGACGGCAGGCCAGCGGGGACGGGCTCCAGCCATTGCCGGGTGAGCAGGGAGTCCGACAGAGCACACGCTGCCCCACGCCCGGGACCGTAAGCAGAGCCCTAAGCCGAGCCTCCTGTGTTCTCAAACGCGGCAGCGAGGGAAGGTCTGTGGGGATTCCAGCTGGGCCTGCCCAGGTACCACCTACCCAGTGAAAACCGTCTACCTCTTAGTGATCTCTGGGTTGTTCTAAACCACGTGACCCTGGGGGGCTGGTGGGCCTCCCTCTTGGAAACAGATCTGAGCTCGAACCCCAAGTCCGACGGGTGCTGGCTGAGGGACCTGGGTGTGGACCCCGAGTTAGTCTGTCTGCGGGAGGAGCTGAGGCCATCCCGAAAGATGGCCGGGTGACCTCTGCAGGAGTGTCACAGCAGGGCCGCCACGCGGAGGGCTTGCTGTCGCGAGCGTTGCAGTGATCTTCAACACCGACTGTCTCCTTCCTTCGCTCATCCCACTCGCTTCCTCGCGTGTCGCTGTGGGAGCGAGGCACTTGCTCCAGACTCCAGACCCCTGTTTTGGGAGTGGAGATTGTCCCTGGGAGGTTGTAGAGACGGCATCACAGACTTAGGAAGGCTGGAGGAGGTGTGGGCCAAAGGACCGCTGTGTATAAACGCCGTCCTTAGGAATAAGACCCCCTTCCTGTGTTCCTGAGCACCGGAGAACGTACACTTGTTCTCACCTGCCAGGGCGACTCGCAAAGAGCTCAGCGAGTTCTGTTTTGCCTTAGCTTCCCGGAAGGTGAGCTGTGGCCCCTTCTGCTGTGCTGAACCCACGATCTCACATCTCTCTGTTTCATTGCAGGTCGCAGGGAGAGTGGCTTCCTACACGGTGAGGGCCACGTTGGAGGCTTGGACCCTTTGCCCCAGCCCCACCAAGACACTAACAGGCAAAGGGAGCCAGACACGCAGACCTGATTCCATCGCGTGGGGACAAGAGGATGGGGGCGCTTGCTCTGGGGACCCTGAGATCAGAGCTGATCTCAGGAAAATAAAAGGGCAGGAAGTTCTTCTTGCTGTGGCTTATAGGTCTTGGTTTCTCTCCCTCGCACTCTTTTCTGACAGAAATAAAAAAAGTCTAGAGCTACTCAACAGGACGGTGAGAGAAGGATGGATGAAAGCCAGCAGGAGGCAACTCCAGAGCGTCTCTGGCTTAGCGTGCATGCTGATGCATGTTCCTGCATGTGTGTTCACGTGTGTACACACGTGTGCATCTGTGCCTATGTGCCCATGCATGCACATGAGTGTGAGTGCACACGTATGCACGTGTGTGTGTGTTTGCACGTGTGTGTGCACTTTTTGATTGCTTGCCCCCTTGGTTGCTTGGTTTTTTGGTTGCCCTTGCTTTTCCTTTTTTTTTACCTTGCCGTTTTTTTTTTTTTCCTTTTTTTTTGGGTTGCTTGCTTTCTTTTTGTGTGTGTGTGCATGGCTGTGCGTGCGATTGTGTGCCTGCACGAGTGTCTATTCTCATCTATTCTGCAGAACAGAAAAGCTGTGTCAAATGCTGGCTGGTGGCAGCCATGTCCTTGTAAAAGTCCAGTTTTAGCTGTCACTAGAGCCTTAGCTCCTTCTTTTTTGTTTTCTGAGACCCTTGGAGAGGGAGGTGTGGACAGCTGACGCGGCGACTGTCCTGCATGTGGGAGACCCAGCGCAGTCTGCTTTTCTAAGACGGGGGACTCGAGGGAGGCTGTCACAAGATCAGCAGAGAAATCAGTGGCTGTCCCCTTGGATGTGCCCTTGGGAGCGTGGCGTGTAGAGGGGAGTGGCTGAGGAGAGCCTGGGGCCAGGAGGGGCAAACCCGGCCCAGCAGGAGATGGGCCAAGGGAGGGCCTGGAGGGGACAGTTGGCAAAATTTGAATAAGGTCTGCAGATTATGTAATAGTTGTTTAATAGTGTTTTGCCAATGTCAGTTTTCTGGTTTTGATCAGTTTGCTACGGCTGTGCAAGATGCTATCATGTGCATCTTCTCCATGCTATTTTTTGCAACTTTTTTGTAAGTCTGAGATAATATTTTTTAATGTGAGTAAATAATTTCTTTGAATGGCGAGAGCGTTTGGATGGAGGGAAACCTCTGTTCAGTGAGGAGGAGGCAGCCCAGACAGGATGGCCACAGCTCTGCCCGCTGCTCAGACTGGGCGGAGCAGGCTCTGGGTGAGGAAGAGGAGAGAAAGGAGGGGGAGAAGCTAACAGTCTCTGCTGGAAAGCACAGGGGAGCGGGGTTTCCCTTGGGGAAGGAGATAAAGAGGCGTTTGGGGGAAGGCCGGGGTCTTGACAACAAGGCTCACGGATCCTGTCTCGTCGCTAAAGGAAGGTCGAGGGGGTGACGAATGGCTGGGCCGCCCGTGCAGGACGCAGGGAAGCACCAGCGCAGGCTCTGGACGCAAAGCTGCGGCTGCGGCCCACGCGGGGCTGGGAGGTGGGAGCTGCTGGGCGCCCGGCCGTCCTGGCTGCCTCTCGCTCTGGGACAGCGGGACAGAAAGGGCCTGTCTGGGACGGTGGGGACATGAAGGCGGGGCCCAGGGACGCGGGGCCAGAGGGAGAAGTGCTTCTCGCAGGTGGGGGCTCTTTGGGAAGACGTTTGTCTCAGCATCGGGGTCTGCGGGGCCCCTCTTGGGGTTTCTGGCCATTGCTGACTCCACAGCTGGGGACGGCACCCAGTTAATGAGCAGACTGTGTCCCCATGTCCCCTGCCAGTGTGGCCTCTCTTGGTCTCTAGCTCTCCCGCTGTGTCTCCATCTCTGTGTCTATGTCTATCTCTGTCTCTGTCTTGCTCTATCTCTGTCTCTTTCAGTCCTTCTGTTTGTCTCTGTCTCTCTGTCTCTATCTTTGTCTCTCCATCTCTGTCTCTGTTTCTGTATCTCTGTCTCTCAGTCTCTCTGTCTCTATATCTATTTCTGTCTTTTTCTATCTGTCTCAGTCTCTCTCTGTGTCCCTCTGTCTCTGTCTCTGTCTCTATTTCTGCCTCTATAGCTCTGTCTCTGTCTCTGCCTCTGTCTCTCTATCTCTGTCTTTCTGTCTCTGTCTCTCTCTGTCTTGGTCTGTCTCTCCTTATCTCTGTCTCTGTCTCTCTGTCTCACACACACCCCCCCAGCAAGCATGTCTGTGAAATAAGCTCAGTTTCCACCCTGGGGCGGCCCCAGGCCACCCAGGAGCCCTTCTCCCCAGCCTCCGGCCTTGTGTCTTGCCCGCTTGGGGACAGGTTGTTTGCGCAGGCTTGTGGCTCGGGACACGGGGACAGTGAAGAGATCCCCAGAGATGGGGGCATGCCCCAGTATGGGAGACCAACCCTGGGATTCCCAATTCGTGCGGGCACTGGGGGACCCGCTCCCGATACCTGACCCTCTCCTCTTCCCGCAGTGAGCCCGTCCCTGGACCCGGACACCGCGAGTGCCAAGCTCAGCCTGTCCGAGGATCGGAAGAGCGTCACGCGGCTGTTCTTTGCCCAGGACCTGCCCCCCAGCCCAGGGAGGTTCGACCCAGACCCCTGTGTCCTGGCCCAGGAGCGGTTCGTCAGCGGGAGGTATTACTGGGAGGTGGAGGTTGGGGACAGGAGCGCCTGGACCCTGGGCGTGTGCCTGGAGGACATCGGTCGGAAGGGAAGGGTCCCCAAGTCCCCGCAGCAGGGGCTCTGGGCGCTGGAGCTTCACAAGAAGAGATTCCGGGCTCTGTCCTATCCGAGGACCCGCCTGCGTCCCTCCAAGCCCCTGCGTCGGGTGGGCATTTTCCTAGACTGTGACGCCAGAGAGATTTCCTTCTACAGTGTGACAGACGGGTCCCAGGTCTACAGGTTCTCTGGGCTGCCTTTCCTTGCGCCCCTAAAGCCGTTCCTCTGCCTGTGGACACACGATCCCCACCCTGTGACCTTCTGCCCAGTGGTCCAAGAGACGCAGGAAGAGACTGGCCCTCCTGGAGGCCCGAAGTCGCACCCTTAGAGGCCTCTGGGCTTGCCCAGGACACTCCCACCTGGGAGAGCGCAGCATCCTCGGCTGACAGGGCTGACAGGGACCAGCCCAGCGAGGCTCGGCTCCGAGCCCGTCACCCGCCGTGCTTACCTCCCTCATCCTCCTCGGGGAAACGAAGACAATGTGTTCTGGGCTGAACTATGTCCCCGACTCCCCCAGATTCTCACGTAATGAAGTTCCAACCCCCAAGGCCTCGAATATGGCTGTTTGGAGACAGGTCTCCCGTGAGCGTCAGGGCGCCCCGGAGGAACGGAACCGCGAGGCTGTCTGCGCAGATCCCGCGTGAGAGGGTTTGCAAGACACGAGGACTCACGCAATTACGGAGCCGTGAAGTCCCGATTCGGGCTGGGTCCCACCTTTGGTCCTATCTGGGCCCGAGCAGACTGGCCGACGCCTGCCCCACGGGGAGGGCGGATCTTGCACCGCTGGCCCTTCAGGAAACGCCGTCGCGGCCGCACCCGCCGTTCCGCAGCCCCCGGCATCCCTCGGCCCAGTCAGGTGGACGCACGAAATGAACCGTCACAGCTGCGCCTTCCAGCCTTGGGCAGGGTGGGAGCCCGACCTCCCCACCACCACAGCCAGATGGCTTTCACGTGGGCCAACGCCCCCTCCCCACTTTTCGTGAATTTTCACTTCCCTGACTCTATGAAGCCCCCTAGGTTCCCCTCCCGATGCCCTACATTCTCCCTTTAATTTTTTCTTTTATTTTTCAAAAAATTTTGTTATTCTTATTTTAGAGACAAGGCCTCACTGTGTCACCCAGGCTGGAGTGCAGCGGCGCCATCACAGCTCACTGTAACCTCAAACTCCCGGGCGCCCCCCCATGTCGGGCTGATTTTTAAATTTGTTGTAGGGACAGGGTCTTGCCACGTTGTTCAGGCCGGTCTTGAACTCCTGCTTGGAGCAATCGTTCCAACCCCGCCTCCCAAAGCGCCAGATCACAGGCGTGAGCCCCTGCGCCCGCCCCCTTCTCCCTTTACACACCCCGTCGTCTCTGTACGAATCGAAATTGAGCCCACTTCACATTAGACTCTTTTCTCTGTTGCTATAGTATATTCCCGATCAAAGATCTGTCTTTACTGCTCAAACTAGTGTCTGGCTTTACCTTCGACAAGGGAAAAAGGACGTAGGCCCCATCTCGCCGCATTTCGCCAGGCCTCATTCCAAAGACTCCCGCGATGTCGCGGCCCTGGGGCCCAGGTTCGTGGCATTTCTTCACGTGCCCGTGACTTTCGTGAGTCAGGCGAGACTCAGGAGGAGGTCATGACGCTTGGCTCTCCCACCCTTGCAAGCAACGCTGTCTAGGATTCAAGGACGGTGGTAGTGCCTGGGGGGCCACACGCATTTGTCAGGACCCCAGCTGTGTCAGTGGGTGGCCCATCCCCAAACTTGTCCCCCGACTGAGCTTCGGAAATATTTCAGTTAATAACAGATGCTGTCGGAAGGAAAGGAAGAAGACTATTGTTTTATTTTAAAATCCAAAGGGAATGTGACGATATGAGCACACATTTATGCATGCCATGTTCATCTCTTACTATCCATAATCATTATCTGGGCCACATATATATATATATTTCCTCACTTTGGATATAATTGTAAATGGAATAGCAAAGAACACACCGTGGTATGTGAGCTCTCTGCTCACGCTCGGAGAGTGGTGGCTTTTCTTTCAAACCGTGACGTTAGGCCTTGGGGACTTTGCCTATCTAGGAGTGTCTTTCTGTTGGAGGGGCCACTTCCGGTTCAGAACTCAAAATAGTGTAGTTTCACCTACAATGATGTTCTTTGAGCCATTTACATTTGCTCTTTGGGCAGAGCCGGAGCGGATTTCTCCATCTAGGGTTTGACACCACGGGCCCCGCCCGCGGGCCGGCTGTGGACCCGGCGTGGTGTGGTCAGTGCGACTGCTCGGGCCGTCCCGGTCCCATCCATCAAGCCGCCTGGGACCAGCTGGTCTGGTATTCCTACACTAACAACGTCTGCGGGAGTGGAAATGAGGTTTCAAGTAAAAGTTAACCCACCAAAGGGAAAAGCGGCCTTTTAAATGTGTGGGCGCAGAAGCAGGGAGGTCGGGCCGCGGGCGCCTGGCGGGGCTGGTGGGCGGCCGTGCCCAGGGCCCTGCTGCTGCCCAGGCCGGGAGCGGCCAGGTGGGCGAAGCGCTTGAAAAGCCAAACTAACCCTGGAGAGCAAAAGGCCAACCGAAAGGCTCTGGTTCAAGCTGGCTGCACATTTAAAATTCTCAAAATGTGGGGCTGGGCACGGTGGCTCTCACCTGTAATCCTAGCACTCCGGGAGGCCGAGGCCGGAGGATTCCTTAAGGTTAGGAGTTCAAGACTGGCTTGAGCAAGAGCGAGATCCCGTCTCTACTAAAAATAGAAATTATCTAGACAACTAAAAATATATAGAAAAAAATTAGCTGGGTGTAGTGGCGAGCGCCTGTAGTCACAGCTACTGGGGAGGCTGAGGCAGGAGGATGCTTGAGCCCAGGAGTCTGAGGTTGCTGTGAGCTAGGCTGACGCCACGGCACTCTAGCCCAGGCAACACAGTGAGACTCTGTCTCAAAAAAAA